TAATTTATCTTATTTTTTTTTATTTCTGTTACTGAAAATGTAAAAATTTGGGTTAAAAAAGGTTTTTTCAACTTTCCATAATAAAGTGAAACCGTTGCCATGGCAACAAACAAGTAAAAAATCACCATTTTCTATATCTACCGATTCCACAAAAATCCAAGAAATTGTTCAATGGATAATTTTCATTACAATGGACTAAAAAAATATATATGTCCCCAACACCGTTTCCATGGAAACAGAGGCTATATAATGGGTTTTGTACTTGAAAATCAGACCTTTTTTTCATTTTAATTAAACATTGATACAATTTTCAGAAAGTGTACTCATCAAACTAAATTTTATATGAAATTGTTTTTTTGGGCAGAAAATTGACCACAATAACACTCCTTCTATGCTATAAATAGTAAATAATCAGTTCATGTGGAAAGACTCTTGGTATACATGTCCTACATAACGCACCTTTACAATATTATTGATGAAAAAGTCAATGGAATTATGTTTCAACACCTTTTAGAAATACCTGTATCTATAAACATGCTTGAGGTGTATACATGTACATGTAATTGTTCATCATGGTTTCTTAGCATGCTGCTGTTGGAAAACAAGTTTAAGTAAAACTTTTTGACCTTATGTTGATTTAATCATTTCAAAAGATTTCAACTACATGTATTAATTTCTAGGCATCCTTAGCTAATGTCTTTACTCATCTATGACTGGTGAGGCTTTACATGCTATCACTTGAGTGAAATGTTGCAGGCATTTTATCCAGGTAGCTGCTATCTGGACAAGAACAGGAAAAATATAACAATGCCATAATGACACGGATACATATTCTGTCCATTATCTATGGATATTTTGCTATAACAATTTACATGAAATTTTACAAACACTTTTTGAATGCTACATAGAAACTTGTTAAGCAGACATATGCCACCCCCAATTAATACATCTGATGCATAAATTTATTTTACTGAATGCAAGTTCAAAGATGGAGAAGCAATGTACTATAATCATCTCAGACTCTTATTTTTTCTAAATATAAAGAAAACAGCTTATAGATAGAATGTTGTTGTGGAATCATTGTTTCCATGGATAACATTTATTGGGTAACCAGTCTCCTCCAAATCCTGGGCCACTGGTATTGGCATATCTGGTTCCACACCTTTGCTCGATCTTTCAACTTTCTTGAACATTCATGAGCTGGAATACGATGGTCTTTACTATAATAGATGGCACTGATCTTCTAAGCAAGAACTGAAGTACTTTTTCTGATTTATTTCCAATTAATGATCCATAATCTGAAATTGTGTGTTCATTTTCATATAATGAAAGGAATGAAAAAAAAATGAAATGAATGAATTTCAAACATACTCACTTTATAACTAATAATGGTACAACTATTATCAAAAATAAATGTATACATTAATTTATGAAGATTGAATTAGATGAATGCAATTATATAACCTAAGCAATGCTAAGATTAAATAGTCATGCATAATCTGAATGAGATACTAATAAAAATAGAACATCATTCACAGAAAGTATTTCCAGGCCCTCATTAAAACCATTCAATCTAAATTAAAACTATCCACATGGTCTTAGGAACTGGGGGGGGGGGGGGGGGGGGCTAATTTTGCTGATATATAGAACACTATACACTATAGAAAACATAGCTAAATATATGCTTGTGCCACCTAAATAATAACGTCTGATGACCTTTCATTTTTGCTTGCCAAGTAATTTTAATATTATTGGTAGTGCCCCCACAAACTGAAAATGGGTTTCGTTGTGCCACCCCCCCCCCCCCCCCCCCCAATGGGTTTCGTTGTGCCACCCACGTCTGATGACCTTTCATTTTTGCTTGCCAAGGAATTTTAATATTATTGGTAGTGCCCCCACAAACTGAAAATGGGTTTCGTTGTGCCACCCCCCCCCCCCCAATGGGTTTCGTTGTGCCACCCCCCCCCCCCTCCCGCTGAAATTGCTTCTTACGGGCCTGATCCAGACTATACTAATGTACGTATCACTTGGTGAGGAAAAAATAAATACAAACTGTACTTTAGAAAAGCTCACCTGTATTATGTCATAATTCCAACCTGTGCCAGCTGTCTCTATCAGACCCCATCAAAGGTTACTTCAAACTTAAAAAAAAATATATAATGAAAATAATAAAACAAAAAAAAAAATAAAATAAATAAATGAAATACTTATATTTACATGTACCAACTGACCATGTATCTATTTTGAGAGAACCAAAATTTACCATGTCAGAGTAGGACAATCAACTGAGCTTAGCAATCAGTAAATCATAATCAATACTGGAACATATATAGCCAGTGCATATAAGTAAAAATAGGAAAAGTATTGAAAATGTCTTGATACTGAGTCCCAGACTGTATAGCTTTATATTTACATTCCACATGTATTTTGCTTTTAAGTGTAAGGAAAGCTATATGGCATTCAACACACCATAACACGGACAGGGGGTCAAAAGGTTAAAGTATGCGTTTTATTTTTACGTCACAAACGTTAAGCGCCATGGAAATGCAACGTCATAAGCGAAAATCAAAATTCACGCTCACATTGAACAAAAGGCTGTTGCAACGGCTCTTTCATTCATTGGTGTGTGCCAACATATTTTCATAACGCGCTACCGCGTTACTCAATTACTTTGCACACACCGTTGCAGTTATGAGACTATATCTTTCAAAAAATAATGATTCAATGCTTAAAAATCCCCCTCTTTTGAACCTACTTTCAAATCCTCTTTGAGATAATTAAATTAAAGTTTATGATAAAATTCATATTAAAATCTATCTAGGGAGAAAATCCATGTGCAACATATAAACTAGTATGTTTTGACTAAGAGTTAGAACATTTATTTGTTCACTGCATTCAAGATTGATACTTTTTAAATGGATTTGGGCTTCAGATCTTTTTCAGTGAGAACTAATTTGCATTGAAAAATAATGTGTCAATCAATAATTCAAACAATTTCATAAAAAATAACTGATGAAAATGCTTTCCTGATTGTATTAAAAAAATAGAGAGATGGAGAGAAAGAAAGAGAGAGATTTTAAAAAGTTGGATGAAAACTTTTTCTGCATTGCTGGATTAAAATCACATGCACCTTATCTGATATTCGCTGACCATGTCACAATATAAACAGATAAAAGCAGGGTTTACAGTCAGAGGAAACTCGGATTAACATGTACCCTGATCTGTTCATTCATTCCTGTTTATGTCCGTTTAGGTCATTGACAAAGTTCTGTAATCCGTAGTTGTAATACGCGATTATGAACTACAAGTACTTAAAATTAACAGTTAGATAATTACCTGTCTGATGCAACTATATCAAGCTGTCCTCCAAATACTCCATGACTTCTCTTCCCTGTTCGGAGTGCATACTGCATACACCACTCAGAGTGTAACAGGATGCTGGATGTTTCTTTCTTTCGTTCGTGTTGTCATTTTAACATGATTAAGTGACGCGGTGAAGTGCATGATTTATAATACATCTGATTCTTTGCCCCTGCTGACTTGAATAACCGTGCAACTTGCGCAGTTCCGTATTGAAAATAAACTAGTGCTCTTTTATTGCGTCATCAATCGTGCATCACGCTAAGCATTTGTCCGCTAAATTCTTCTGAGATTCCTTTACTTTAAATTGTTAGGCCTATACGATTTTCTACTGGAAATGTCCTTTGTTTGTGTTCATCATTTCATCAATTCATGTCATGGTGTTTCACAGCCGAAATTCATTAGCGATTGAATGCTTCTTATCGCTGGTTTAAATTTCGCCGGTTTCAAACGCTTAAGTGATTCATAAGAGTTATCTCCCTTTAATCGCAAACCTTACCTTAAGTGACGCGGTGAAGTGCATGATTTACAATACATCTGATTCTTTGCTCCTGCTGACTTGAATAACCGTGCAACTTGCGCAGTTCCGTATTGAAAATAAACTAGTGCTCTTTTATTGCGTCATCAATCGTGCATCACGCTAAGCATTTTCCGCTAAATTCTTCTGAGATTCCTTTACTTTAAATTGTTAGGCCTATACGATTTTCTACTGGAAATGTCCTTTGTTTGTGTTCATCATTTCATCAATTCATGTCATGGTGTGATCCCCACTGAGAACTGCTGATAACGAGTAGCATCATCACTTGCCGATTTGCGGAGCGAGCAATCAGACGTGATTTTCACCAGAGTTGGTTCACCCCTATTGATTCTTCATTAAGGTATGTAAATGTATTTAAAGTGATTGGAATATATCTACGTGGAGGTAGATATATATTTTGTTGAAGCGCTATATTAATATTTAAATCCACGTTGAGGTGGAGGTGAATACGTGAAAGTAAATATATTTTTGTTGAAGCGCTATGTTATTGTTTAAATCCACGTTGAGGTGGATAATTGGAGGTAGATGGAAGTAGATGAGTTTTGTTTTGAAGCGTTAAGCTAATATTTAAATCCACATTGAGGTGGAATTTTGATCTAATAGGTTAAATAACTGTATACCCACGTCGAGGTGGTGGTAAAAGGTGACGTAAGAATATTATGAATAATTAATGTGATTTTTAATTAAACAATTTTATCAACGTTGTTGTGGAATTGAAGACATATAGACTGGGGGGATCATGTTGAGGTGATTTGCTACTAAAAAAATATTGAGGCGAAAGTACGAAATGAAATTAGAGAGAAGGAAGCTAAAAAGAGATCTCGATAGAGAGAGAAAAGTTGAATCAGCATTTTCAGTGAAATGATAATTAAATTATTGTTGGGATGGAATTAAAAAAAAAAAAAGTTGATATGGAAGTAAAGAAGAAAGAGAGAAGAGACGAATAGAATTGGAATGGTTACATAACAATGAAAAGAAAACTGAGCTCATACTAAGATGAAAATATCTATGTTATTAATGCAAATGTTGAAATGGATGTTGAGAATGTACTGTTTTAAATGTGCAGATCACTTTGTAAAAGTATTCTGTTTTCTTTGTATAGATGCCGCCACCTGCGGTACTGCGAAAGAGACACTCATTAAGGGGGAAAGACATTTTCCCTCTAATTAAACGTGTCAGGGCAGCTGAGGAACCAGATGGAACGCTGGCGAGAGTCAAAATGAACACCCCTGTGGAGAGCATGGGGCGAGAAGAGATGAACGCCGCCTTTGAAGGTCTTACCGGCGAATCAGCAGAGGAATGTCTCCAGATGGTTGGAGGGAGACAAGAAGATGATCTCAGAAAGCTCTTGCATTATACGATCTTATATGCAAATGAGGTCGGCCAACCAGATGGCCAGGATTTAGAGACTGATGAATCGGTAAATGGAAATGACAATTTAAGAAAAAAAAAATTAAAATTATATATACATGTATATATATTAAGTTTCAATTTAAAGCTTGAATACTGTCTATCAGTTGAAGTGAATAAGTCTAGTAGATTCGTGTCAAAATGATTTCACGATTAATTGTTAATGATCGATTAATTATATTGAAAACTTGACTCTAGATGATGTTATATTTTATATATGTTGTTCTAACATTTTGTAATTACTTAGGCAAGAACTGAGCCTTTGGCCAAGAAACAAAAGAAATCGGAAGAGGGATTAGAAAAGAGAATCCAGGACCTAGAAAAGTCAAAAAAGAATGAAGAAGAGGAAGAAATCGGGAATTTAAAAGCTAAGGTGAGGGGTTTGTGCATGCAGACAGAACCAAGCCTCCCACTGATTTTGGTCTGTATAGAGGAGCTAGCAAGAACTGCACGGAAATCTAATTATGAGGAGGCGGCTGTGTTTGAAGAGCTGTCAAGACAGGCTAATTGTAATAAGGATAAATTAGATATTCCATCCTTTTGCATGACTGTGCTTGGGGGGAAGGCGACTGATGTCGTGAGTAAAGCCTTGGCAAAAGCTTTGAAAGTAAAGTCGGAGTCGGGGGAAGGTGGTTGCCAGGAAAAAGTTTCGGAGACACAACATCAGTCCCCTTTGATGAATTTATCCCCCCACCCACATCATGCTTACTGGGGATTTGGACAGGGAAATTTTGCTCCTCCAATGTACCCATACGGGGGTGTAGCGGGATATTCTGGGTATAGAAAGTACCAAAGAGGTTCAGGCCGGGGTCAATCTTCCAAAGGAAATTGTCTGTTTTGTGGCGCGTCTGGCCATTACGTTCGTGATTGCCTAAAAATGAAAGCGGCGAGGGGAAAGTAATGAAATATTTGAGAATGTGACAATTGTGCAACCTTTTTTGTAACATAGGCTTAAAAAAAAAAAAAAAAAAAAAAAAAAAAAAAAAAAAAAAAAAAAAGGGTAATAGTGTCCATTGGAATGGTATAATCTATGTAACTATGTGTGATTTTATTGTACATTTTAATCTGTTTTGAAATGATATAAAATAAAACCCGATTTTAAATTTTATTTTACATTAGTTTGTATCCTTTAACTTGACATCCGGGGACTCTAAAGCCCTAGTGAGCTCGCTCACGTGGATGGCAGGTTTGGGATCCAATCTTCAGTGTTATTTAGTAGAGATGCTTGAGTTAAAATAAGTTTCTTTATTCCTAACAGGAATTTGAGATTGAAGTCCCGGAATGGGAAAGATGTGAGTCATTTGATCCGGAGAAAATTGTATTGGAAAAGAGAGGGCATCCTACGTGGATAACACTGAAAGAAAGCGATTCCAAGCCTACATTCCACGTAAATGAACAATTTAAGTTGTATGATGATAAAATTGAAAGATTGGGTGATATGATTGTAAGAAATCCAGATACTTTTGTGTCCGGTGAAATTCATAATTGTTCAAATGAATGGTTGAATATTACTGGAAAAATATCTGATAACTTGTCTGAGACGGTCCAGAATTGGGTGGACTCGGGGATTGACGCACAATCGTTTATGCGCTCATTTAAAGGAAATATAAAAGGAGATCTTTTGATTCAGATATTCCACCAAAACAGTATTTCCCCAATTCGTTGTCCTGTAAAGCGTACACCTCTTTTATATAAAAACAAATAACTGAAAGGTTGAAAAATGGATCATTTAGATTATGGGGTAGAGTAGGTGAATGCGCTCTCCCTAGGGTTATTATGCCTTTGACTGTTGAACCTAGTAAACCTAGACTCTGTCATGATGCACGTTATATAAATCTGTGGACTAGAGATTTGCCTTTCAGTCTCGACACTCTGAAAGATGTTCATAGATTAGTAGAAAAGGACTCGTACATGATATGTTGTGATGAGAAATCGGGGTATGATCACATAAAACTTAAAAAGGAATCAGAAGAGTATTTTGGAGTTCAGTTTGGGGGCTGGATATTTACATACACAACACTGCCTTTTGGGTGGAAAGCCTCCCCGTATATAAATCAAACGCTAGGCATGCAAGTTACGTCGATGTTCAGAGATCTAGGGTTGAATACAGTTCAATATATAGATGACAGGTTTATGGTTTTTAATTCAGACACTCGAAGTTGTACAGCATTTCAGCATACTACCATTGACAGTTCCTTGGAAATGGTTGCTATGGTTGTAACTCGTTTGACAACTCTGGGTTACACGCTGGCATTGAAGAAATGTCAGTTAATTCCGTCGACTTTGGTGAAGTACTTGGGGTTTTATGTTGATTCCATGAAACAAGCATATCTATTACCAAAAGATAAGAAGGAAAAAATTATTGCGCTTAGAGAGACAATTTTGAGTCATGATGATGTTGAAGTTAGAACTCTTCAAAGATTTGCAGGGAAATGTGTATCAATGTCGTTAGTCATACCTGGTGCTAAACTTTATACTCGTGAGATAAATGCAGCTATTTCGGTAGGTTTAAGAAACAGTAGAAAAATTAAAATGACTGGAGCTTTATATGAGGAGGTTAAGTACTGGCGTTTCGTCGATAGTTGGAAAGGGTGTGCACCATGGAGGTCAGAGAGGCACTTGCAAGTCTCGATCTCAACGGATGCATCTTTATTTCGTTATGGGGTAGCAGTTATGTCTGGGAAAGATAAAGGTGATGTATTTGGTGATTTTTGGTCTGAAGGGGATGTTAGGCCTATTCATCAGAAGGAGGCGTCAGCTGTTCTTAAGGCCTTACAGTCTTTGAAATCGGATGTTAAAGATCATATTTGTTTGTTGATAACATGGCGGTTGTATTTGCTTGGGAGAATCAGGGATCCAGGGATGTCCAGTTGTCAGCTATAATGAAAGAAATTTTTCAGATGGTCTGTGCTCTGAATATAAATTTAAAGTTGCACTATGTTGAATCAAAATCAAATATGGCGGATTACCCATCAAGAAAAATTTCTTATGTTGGTTTGAACATATTTTATTGTAATTAATAAATACAATGGGATTGGGCACAAGTTCTGAAAACTTATTACGCCCTCTCCCTGTTAATACCATGTTGACTGTTGAGACCTGGGGTTTAGTGGAAAGCGTATTCGGACCACATTCTGTGGATCTAATGGCAACTGATTCCAATGCAATGAGGGATTCAGATGGGAATCAGTTACGTCATTTCACGCAATACCTATCCCCTCAGTCCGCTGGTGTTAATGTCTTTGCACAAGAGATTTCAAAAGAAACAAATCCATATGTGTTTCCTCCTTTTAGCCTTATATTACCTGTATTGTGTTTATTAAGGTAGCATAAGCTCAAACAATGTACCGTGGTAGTACCAACCATGATACCGAAACCGGTATGGTGGCTTCTATTAATGTCATTTTGTGTCGCATCCATAACACTGGGAAAGAAAGGGGACAAAAACATACTTAAGCATCCCTCAAAATTTGGTTTTATAAATGATGGGATGGGTCTAAAATGGGATTTGAAAGCCTATAAAATGGATTTCAGTACTTAAAAATTGAACATATGGTTTACAGTTTCAGGTTTCCTCGGGAGAATCCATTGATTTGTTTGATATAGACGAAAGGCTAAATATCTTGAAGTCTCAAGGAGAGGAGTCGACACATGCAAAGAAACGCAAACGTTTAGAAGTTCGATGTAAAAAATTTTTGTCAGCTTTACCACATGCACCAACTGTTTTGTCAGTTACATCTAAAGATATTTGTAGGTTTTTAGTATGGAATGATAAATTTGGTAAAACTCAAATTCATGGAATGTCATGTCCACATATTGGGGATTATGGTATATATAAATGCGGTTGTGCAATAAGATTAGCGGCAGGAACAGTGCATGGAATGATTCAAAATTTTGTGTATGCATGGTAGGGGTCGTTCATAGGATATAGGCACAGGCATGGGGAATCCATGCCTATCTCCAGAAGTTCAATGTTATGAGAAATCCTGTAAAGATGAGCGAGCAAAATCTCGCATTTTACCAAAGCAAGCAAAACCAATATTCTTGGGAAAACTACAAAAGATATCCTTATATATTGACAGAGAACTGTCTCGTCATGATTTATCATTGAGAGAAAAATATGTACTTGTGCGAGACCAGGCAGTATTTAAATTGCAATTTTTCGCAGGCGATAGGGCAAGTGACGTGTCTCTGTCACAAGAAGTTAGAACATTGCCAGATTTGTCAGGGTTCGTGTTTAATCACACGTACGGGAAAACATTTCGATGAGATGGACGGTGTAATATTTTTGTTATTAAAAGATCTAAAGATAAAATAATATGTCCTGTTTTGGGACTTGAACGTTATTATAAATGGACAAGTGATAATGGGATAAACATAAAATTAGGTCATTTGTTCAGACCAGTTACTGAGAAGGGTAGAGTTTTGAATGAAAAGTTAGGATATTCAGCCATATATGAAAGACTGAAATGCTATTTAGTTACATTAGGAATACATGAGGGAGAGACGCCACATAGTTTAAGAGGTGGTTTTGCTATCACAATGGCCATTTCGGGTGCGGTCAAGGGTCCTGGGGAACTCATGCACCATGTGGGATGGTCAACGGAAGGTTAGGCACACTATTATAGTAGGTCAAAATCGTTGCCAGATGCAAGTAGAGTAGCTGGAAATATTGCCAAGATTACAAGTGATAGGGAGGATATAGAATTGTTCTATTAAACACACGGGGATATGTCTGCACTGTCGCCTGCCTTCAAATGATGTAAATGCATGTTACAACATGTTACTAAAATTATGTTATCACAGTCATAATTTAATGTATAGTTATTAAATTGTAGTAAATTTGTATTGTATTTGAATGCTGAAACCTTATTGAATGTTAACCAAAGGGAAATAAATAAATAAATAAGTACATAAAAGTTAATTATTTTGGAGGATTGAGTATTGGGAGAGGTTGGTTATTGATGTGGTACAATAACAAATACATGTAGAAGGAATAATACGGACCAGGAAGATTTTTCTAATTCTGATTTCAACCCAGTACTTAATACAGAAGTGCGTATGAGGTTCAGATAGTTCTCAGTGGGGATATATTAATTCACAGCCGAAATTCATTAGCGATTGAATGCTTCTTATCGCTGGTTTAAATTTCGCCGGTTCCAAACGCTTAAGTGATTCATAAGAGTTATCTCCCTGTAATCGCAAACCTTACCTTAAATCTTCATAATGTAATGTATATCTAATTATATATAAATTCTATATATTTTCTTTGTTTGTGTAAAATTGTCGTGGACTAGACAATAAATTGTACAAGAGAGAATCCAAAGCTTTATTTTTTTTTTTTTTTATAATTTGATAAAATGAAGTTAATAATTATTGTACCTTATAATTGTAATATTATATGGGGTACACGTATTTTTAGCAAAATTATTTAGTCTGATGCTCATTTCTATGTTTTAGGGAGAAGAGTTTCTTTAAATCCTGCCAATCAGTATATTGTTGTGTGTCTTTCATCTGTTATCAGACTTCCTGTAGCTTTGGGTGTTACTTGCTGTGCACTCTTTGACCGTGTCTACATAGATATGATTTTGGCTTATCATAGTAAAAATGCAGTGAAATATGCAAATAAAATTGCAAAATAGTTGGATGGTATATTTTTTGCTCAATACTCTCAGGTGGTCTCAGTATCTCAATTACATCGAACAGCTGTTTCTTATGTTGCTGATGTTCCCCCCCCCCCCCCCTAAAATGCTTTAAACCGAAATTTTTTTTTTTTCAAAATATTAATTATACTTTCACTGTGCATGTGTATGAGATTTGTAATTTCTAAAACTGCATATTGTTACATGATATTAAAGCCACAATGAGGGTTATTGAGTGTGTGGCAGTTAGGCAGTTTCTGTCATTGGTGGCCAGATTGCTCAGTTGGTAAAGCACCTAGCTAATGATGCAAGTGCCTGGGTTTTG